CTTGCCAAGAGTCACTTCAGACCATTGGCCGATAAGCATTGGAACTAGGAATTTCCTGAGTGGGCCTAAACCTTTCAGATTTGAAAATATGTGGTTAACACATCTAGACTTTACTCAAAAGGTCAAAGAGTGGTGGAGTGAAGAAGTGGTGGGTACCCTTGGGAGGGGTGTCAAATTTCATAGGAAAATTCAAAGGCTAAAATGTAAAATTAAAGAGTGGAATAGGGAGCATTTCGGGAGAGTGAAGGAGAAGAAATTAAGTGTTATTTCCCAGATTGAACTTTTGGATGAAAAAGAATGACACAACTCTCTCTCAGAAGAAGAGAGGACCTTAAGATGGAATCTGAAGAAGGAATTGGAAGAGATAGTGCTAAGGGAAGAGATGTGTTGGAGACAAAAATCGAGGCATCAATGGATTAAGGAAGGGAATGGTGATACTAAATTTTTCCACGCAATCACTAATGGAAGAAGGAGAAAAAACTTCGTGGAGAAGTTAGAGATTAATGGCAAAGTAGTGGATGATCAAGAGGAGATTGCTAATGTTTTCACGAATCATTTCAAGGCAATTTACAAAAGACAGGGGGATGTGAGGCTTAGAGTGGATGGGTTAGAGTGGCCTAGATCGGACTTAGAGGTGGCAAATCAATTGGAAAAGGAGTTTGAATTGGAAGAAATAAAGGGAGTTGTGTTTTCAATGGATAGATCTAAAGCTCCTGGACCTGATGGTTTCACTATAGCTTTCTTTCAGGATTGTTGGGATATCATCAAGTTAGATCTATTGGCAGTATTTGAGAAGTTTGCGGAGACTCACTTTATAAGTCCAGGGATCAACTCCACCTTCCTAGCTTGGATCCCTAAAAAGGGAGAGGTTGTTCAACCGAAAGACTTTAGACCCATCAGTCTAGTGACTAGCATTTATAAAATTTTGGCCAAAGTGTTGTCGTTAAGGTTAAAATCAGCCCTGCCAACTTTAATAAGCCAATCACAAGGGGCCTTTATTCAAGGTAGACAGATCATAGATCAAATCTTGATAGCAAATGAATGTGTGGAGGACTTCAAGAGAAGGGGGAAGAAAGGTTTTGTATGTAAACTGGACTTGGAGAAAGTATATGACATGGTCAATTGGTCCTTTTTGTTGGAAGCCCCGAGGAATTTTGGGTTTGGAGAGAAATGGTGTGGTTGGATTGAAGCTTGTTTAAAAACTTGCCATTTTTTAGTTTTAGCTTAACGGAGTGGTTAGAGACTTCTTTCCAGCCTCTAGAGGGTTGAGACAAAGGGATCCTCTTTCTCCTTTCCTTTTCACCTTGGTATCCGATGTATTTAGTAGGCTCATTTTGAGAGCTGATGGGTTGGATATGTTTAGAGGATGGAGGGTAGGAAGAGAGGGTATTGTGGTGTCACACTTGCAATTTGTGATGACACAATCATTTTTTGTGTGTCTGGAGATCCCTCAAAGGCTAGAAACTTGAAAGGAGTAATAAAGTTGTTTGAATGCGTGTCAAAGATGAAGGTCAATTTTGAAAAGAGTTGTGTAGTGGGGGTAAATTTGGAGATGGAGGAATTGAGTGARGTAGCARAGTCCTTAGGTTGCCTTACATCTAGCTGGCCCTTGAAGTACTTGGGTATGCCTCTAGGAGATAATCCAAAAGAAGGAAGATTTTGGAATTCGATCGTAGAAAAATGCACAAAGAAGTTGGCAGTTTGGAAGAGAAACTACATTTCCCTTGGAGGTCGGATCACTTTAAGTAGAGCTACTCTTGCGAACTTGCCAACTTACCTTCTATCTGTCTTTAGAATGCCACAAAAGGTGATTTTGAAGGTAGAGAAAGTCATGAGGGATTTCTTGTGGGAGTCGGGGGAAGGGAGGAAGGATCATGTGGTTAGGTGGGAAATAGTGTGTAGGAGGAAGGAGCAGGGGGGATTGGRATTAGGCAATCTAAGGAAGAAAAAT